CGACAAACTCTCTCCTCGATCGCAAGAATGTGTCTTCCTCGGGTACTCATCTCAGCACAAAGGGTATAGATGTCTAGACATTCACAACAATCGCATCTATGTGTCCCGACACGTCACATTTCATGAGCAAATATTTCCTTTCAAAAAGTCTACTGCTCCTCAATCATCACAGACCCAATCCATCACTTACAACCCTTTAACTCTTGTTACTGCCTCTGCCACTACCTCTGAACAAGTTTATCATCCTTCCAATCTTCCATCCAGCACGCCGCCTCAGCCCAACTCTGCCCAGAACACTTCCAACATCATATCTCCCACCCATACCACCTCTAATTCTTCTCCTCATCCTCAAAACCGTGTTCATCACATGCAAACCCGGCTTAGATCTGGTATATCCAAACCCAGGCACATACTTGATTTATCTGCTATCTGCCAGCCCGACACTATTCCCACATCATTTTCTCAAGCTAATGAACACAGTCAATGGAGATCCGCTATACAATCAGAATACTCGGCTCTCCAAAAGCAAGCAACCTGGTCACTTGTTCCCCGTCCGGTATCTCAACCAGTTCTCGGATGCAAGTGGATGTTCAAAATCAAGAAACATCCCAACGGCAACGTAGCCAAGTATAAAGCACGCCTTGTGGCACAAGGCTGCTCTCAAGAATTTGGCGTAAACTATACCGATACTTTCAGCCCTGTGGCCAAAATGATGACCATTCGAGTCATGATCACAATTGCTCTTCACCAAAATTGGACAATCTCCCAACTCGACGTCTCAAACGTGTTCCTACATGGCGACCTTCATGAAGATGTATACATGCGTCAACCGACAGGATTTGTTGATTCGCAGTATCCAAACCACGTGTGCAAGCTCCGCAAGTCGATATATGGCCTCAAACAATCTCCGAGACAATGGTTCAACAAACTCACTACGGCCTTACAACAGTTCGAATTCGTTTTTAGTAAAGCGGATCCTTCCTTACTTATCTACTCACAAAATCAAACTCGTCTATTTGTGCTAATATATGTCGACGACATTTTGGTGACTGGAAACAATAAAACTTTGATAGAAACATTATTACGTCAGCTGAACTCAAATTTCACACTAAAGCAACTTGGAGACATTTCATTATTCTTAGGAATACAGGTTGCAAAGACCTCCAAAGGCTATTTCCTTCACCAATATCATTACGCTAAACAGTTGCTTCAAACAGCCGGATTCAATAACAACAAACCCGCTCCTACACCTATGTCTCTTAACCGGCAATCAAAGCATCTCAATTCATCTCAGTTCCATGATCCGCACCTCTATCGGAAAATCGCAGGTTCGCTTCAATACTTATCAATAACTCGTCCCGATATTTCTTTCACTACTAAACACATCTGTCAACGCATGCATCAACCTACGACTGCTGACTTTCAAGCACTCAAACGATTGCTCCGGTATATACAAGGATCCACCACGACGATCTTCAACTGTAGACATTTGTAGATGCTGACTGGGCTTCCGACCATACCGACCGAAAATCAATATCTGGATTCTGCAACTTATTGGGTAACACCATTATATCTTGGTCCGCCAAGAAACAAAACACGGTAGCTAAATCATCAATGGAAGCTGAATACCGATCTCTCTCATCCGCAACGGCCGAAGTACTATGGCTCCGCCGGTTGCTTGCGGAATTCGGAGTTCCTCAGACAAGCCCAACTATCATTCACTGTGACAATACATCCGCGATAGCTCTCGCAAATAATCCCGTCTTCCATGCCAGGATGAAGCACATAGAAATCAATTATCATTTTATTGTTTGATCAACAAAATATAGTTTTGAAAAAGTATTAGTTTTCTTTGGGAAAGTTAAAAAGTTGAATTTTAGTTTTGGAATCGAACACGACATTAAGAACGATATACCATCTCAAAAGGAGAGAATATCATTCACTAATTGGTTCAGATTACAAAACTTTAACTTTATCCTTACTATCGTAGTCAAACTCAAGAAAGAATCACATTTGACCCCAAACGATCAAAATGGAATTTAATCGAGTATTTGACTATGCTAATATGGATTAAAGATCATTAATTTTTAATCAAAACCACGATAATAATTGGTATATCTCTCCAAAGAGAGAAGATATCAATCATTATCGATCGTTTGAAAATTATGATAATGATCGTCGGGTTTGATTATCCCAAAGAAAATTAATTGAAGTTTTTGAAAAATTATAGGTTTTGAAAATAAGTTCTGGGTTTCTAAATCTCCTACGAGCGCAAGCCCTCGTAGTTAATTACATCGTAGAAAATCGGAATTTTCTACAAAAACTCTCGATTAAAATAGCGGTAGAAATTTTATCTGGAGTTTCAAAGTTCGATATCAAAGGAGGTTAAGGGTTGGAAATTCAAGTTGGATTGGTTCAAAATTGAAGACTTATTTCTAGAGTCAAAGGAAAAAGGGTAGGGAGTGTTTTGAAATTCTGAATTACTTCAGATAACACTCCAACCTATCCTAAGTGTTGGGCTCGAATTAGATTGAAAGTGATTTAAGGTTTAAGTGA